GATCCGCTGTCGGGCGCCCACAGCCTGTCGATCAGTGCACTGCCGCCAGATATCAAACGGCAGCCTACGCTTGTCTTTGTTGCGCTGCCGTTGTCCCAGGCAGTATGGGGAGATGTACTGCGTCTGGGGAACGTTGGATGCCCTGAAACCGGCGCTGTTATCGCGTCTTTCCTTTGCTTTGTCCCCGCGGCGCTGTATAGGCCGAGAGCCTCACCGACTAACTGTGTGGACCGATGACATCCGTAGCGAGATCGCATGGAGCCAAAAATGCGCACAACGTCTTTCGAAAAGGTCCGCGACCAGGATCCCTACTGAAACATCTTTGCGCAAAGTGCGGGAGACATACAGTTCTTGATCGACCCCTCATCAGTTAAAGTGGTTGTCCGAGCGTTAAGCCACGGATTCGCGAAGTCGCATGCCGCGCTACGTATGTACCTTTGCCATGATCGCTGGTGCACATGCAGGGTCGGAATTTTGGAAGCAAGATAACAGACGGCCATAATCCGGTCGAAACATGGCTTCCACACCAGAGCGGGTGTGTAGACTATCCGCGGACTGATTTCTGGGCTTCGCGCTACCATCGTCATGATAGTGTGGGTCCGAGATCATCAGACGATTGCGGGAGCACATGTAGACATAATTCCTTGGTCGCGTAATTCATAAGTAGCACGAGCCTCTAGGAAATCTTGTGGCGATTCATTCAGGGACGGTTGTCTGCAAAGGGGAACTACGGAAGCAGGTGTGTGGCATTGATTGTCGCACGGAGATCTCTCCAATAAACGCCCAGCACCACTTGCCAACGAATCCACAGCGCTTCACCCACTTTCGGGACCGGAAGCTTCCTTAGCATTCTGACTAGAATTGTGTGTGAAGGCGACCCGGAATGCGGTATTCGAGGACCCTTACGTGCTCGAGAAGGGTAGACGGGGTATCAGGGTGCTAAAGCTCGTCCTGTTCCTGTTCACATGGAGGGTACGCATGGTCTCGACGACAAGCAGCGTACCCGCCCATTGGCCATGTCTGACGTTGTTGAGATCGGCTCTCTTGCGCATGTGTAGTCGACAAGCGATTGAGTTGTCCTGTTGCATGCATTCTAGTCTGATTCAACCATTGGGCGCATGGCTGCCGCCGAGTTGTCCCATGTTTCGACTTCGCAGACAAGCACACAAGATGGGATGAAGACTAGGGCATCTCCCAGCTGCAGTACCGTTGCAGCCCTTTTGCATGAGTGAGGGTGGGCTGTTCTTTGCGGTAGTGTATATGCTAGCTACCAATGGAGGCGCAATCGCATATATGCAGCAGGGAGGATGCGCTGTACTGTTTAGACGCACTCGACGATACAAATTTGATCCCAAGAGACTGTGAATGCAAAGGCGACCGCCATTTCGTGGTTCGAAGCGCATCTGGAAAGTGCGTCGTGACCTTGCGTGGTCCTAGTCGGTGTCTCTGTAGTTCGCTTGCGACATCTCTCATCTGCAACCCACCCTCCACACCATTCTCCTCAGTCCCACACCACCTCCTCCTTGTAAGCCTCCAACCTTCCCATCAAGCTCCCGATCCCTCTGAGATCGCACTCTGGCGCTCAGATAGAGTCAATCCTGCTCTGCGCATTCGGGTCGCTAACCTGCCATCCGCAGCCAGCGGCGGTAGACTCACGGAACCGGATCGAAGCATCTACTGCCCATCTGGCTTTGTAGACATCACTGTTGGTATGTCCGTGTCTCCATAGGTGCTTGCGACCGAGTTGGGCTCTACACTTGGTTGCGACGCCGCCCCTGGGTCTTCCGCGCTGTCGTCACATCCTCCCTGTAGTCCGCAAAGGGCCAGCGGTGACGAGTCGTCCAACCGCCTCCAGCCCAGCACAGGCGCCGTGGAACAGGACAAGGAGCACCCGACATGCCATCGAGCCTCATCAGCGACCATCTGCTAACATGCCGCCTTCCAGACTCGACGCCCGTTTATCCTTCCCCGACCGCCTCTCGTCCCAAGCCCTTGCGACACCAGCAGCATCGGTGCGCCCCTCAGCCACCTACACATACAGAAGCTCGTTTTAGGGGCTTTGGAACACACTCTCAGCATCCGAGACATTGGTATGCAAGTTTCCAATATGCTTGCGGAACCGCGGGTTGCTGGCGCACAGCGCTGCCCTGAGGTGGAAGAGCTCCTAGCGGGCCGACACCACGACACCATGCATCCCGTGTCTGGCTACGACATGATGCCCCAGAGGGAAGACTCTGGCATCATGGACGTCTACCCAAGCACCGAGACGGGCTCTGCGCATGAGGCCATGTCGCCCTCCAAGCAGACGCCCAAGAAGCACGTCAGCTTCGAGCTGCTGCTCCCCCAGTCTCCAGCCCACAAGGCCCGACTGCCCATGCGAGTAGACATATACCCTCACGATACAACAGACTCCATCATCACCACAGTTAAGAACTTCTATGGTCTGTATGAGCGTCGAGGCGTCATCTTTGAGGACCGTCACGGCAACACGCTGATTGCGCGCTTCGAGAACTTCGAACACGGCATGACCGTCTACGTCCGAGTCTCTCCAGAGACTCTCGATGCTGATGAATACTCTCCCGACCCCCACCAGCAGACCATCTCGCCTCGTCGCGCGCGACCCCACCTCGACGAAGCCTTCCAAATGCTCCCACCTATCCAGCACCACCAGGGCTCGAGAGCGGGGTCCCGCCATGCACGCCAGAGCCACTCCCCACACCCAGGACGTGGGCGGAGGAGCGCTTCAGTCAGCAAGCGCATACGACCGTCCATAAAGAGTCGCGGCAACAGTTCGCATGGGAGCTTCGCTGACGCCAATGGCGATGGCTACAGTGACAGCGACGAGGAGCATGGCTCTGTCAGCAGCTCGCGACGCTCGAGGAAAGAGCCACTGGCGAGCGCTGAGATCAGCGTTGATAACATTGTTGAAGGTGGCCGCCGCAAGCGTGCAAAATTCGACAGCTCGGTAAGTATCTACAGTGGGCATGTATCGTGCATTAGTCTGACACTCGTTCCTTCCATAGGAGCTGCCTCTGTTCGTACCGCCTCAAGTCCCCATGACTGCTTCACAGTCATCCGTATCCCCTCAACGACGTATCAGCGGAAACACTGCTGGCTCGCCATACTCTGTCAATCAGCAGACATTCTCATACTCGCATCCGCTGCCATCGCCGCAGAGTTATGGTCAGGGTGACAGTTCATACCTTCAAGGACTAGTCACACCCTACTCTACATCGAGCAATCAAGCTCAGGGGTACAAGTCTCGGGCGCGCGGCTCAGCGCAGCATTCCCACTATCGCTACTCTGGCAGCGGTGGAGCTCTCCCTACCCCTGACACCACTCTTGCGAGTATCAGTGTCATCTCTGATGAGGATGTCGCCCGTCAGCTCATGCGCTTGGGTGATGCGTCCAACTTCTCCACCCATGGTCGTACTTCCACTTCCACGCTCGATGATGCCTTTAGCGGAAAAGCCGCAGCATCTTCAAGCGACGAGAGCGCTGACGGTAGCGAGGACGAGAGTGAGCTTCCTCCTCTCGCGTACAATATGGCTCGGGCAATGAACGACCACACTCGTGTTTACGATGAGGCTGAGAGTAGCGGTGAGGACTACGAAGACGACCGAGATGAGTCTTTCAAGGGTCACAGTGATGAGATGATGTCAGGAGAACACGGCCATCGTGTGCACTCTGGTATCATCAAGGCCCATTCCGTGTCAAGCAAGTCCGGCAAGCCCAGCAAGCCTCGTGCCGTCTCTAAGAGCAAGTCCAAGGTCAATGGCACTAGCAAGACTCCATTGTCTCCGTCCTCTCTCCCCTCACAGTCACGCAAGGCTTCTAATGCGTCTTTGAACTTCCAGCATCAGCTTGGCGTCGACGAGGAGGATCTCTCGAGCAAGCCACGCTGCCAGCGCTGCCGCAAGAGCAAGAAGGGCTGTGACCGCCAACGACCATGCCAGCGCTGCAAAGATGCTGGTATTGGTGCCGAGGGATGCGTCAGCGAAGACGAAGGCAACGGCAGGAAGGGACGCTATGGACGTCACATGGGGGTCTCTGTTAAGAAGAACTCAGTCTCGTCAGCAACGTCGATGGCACCTCCCCCGATGCATGACTATCACATGCCGATGGAAGGTTACTCAATGAGCACGGCGCTTGACAAGAGCAAGAAGCGCAAGAGGTAGCGATTGTCACTTCGTCTACTGTTGTCTCCAACATCAACTCACTCACACTCTTCTCTGGCGTTTTGGATAGCAAGCCCTCGCATTGCATCATTGGGTGGTATCTTTAGCGGCTGCCCGTCCTCTCCTTTCAGCAAGAGTAAAAGTGTCTTTTCGCAGTCATTCTTACAGTTGCGCAGCGATGAGCGAGCAGAAGTTGAAATTGCTATGGTGTTATAGGTTAGAGATGGGCTGGACAGGGGTATGGGAGGCACGGCTGGGTAGAGGTTGGGAACGGAGTGTAGGCTGTCCATGTTGCACGCTTTGGCGACTCCATATGTTCTACTTCTAGCTTGTTTGATACAGTAGCGAATTTAGTGCGAGACATTCAATGATAAAAATTCAAAGACATGTCGTTGATGCTACTTATGTCATCTGCATGTACATGTACGGCACGAACCCTTGCACGGGTGAGGATTGGGTAACGGGTGCACAGCATTGCATGTGGTGCAGTCTGAGACGTCATGCCCAGCGTGAGGACATGCCAATCCGTGGACGACAGATGACAGTCGCGACGACCAAGGTACACTGATGTCACTGCCATAGTGTGAGAATGCCACGAGCCGTCTACCACTGGATCGGACCGGACTATTTTGAGACGAGGGCGAAAGCTTAAATCGGCAGGAACGGGTTTAAGTGGGGTCATGTGGCTTTACAGGGGTCAGGGCGAACCAAAAGGCAGAGGCTGTGCTCGTCTGCCTGCGATTATCCCCGGCATAAGGCGTGCCTCCGTTGGGAGGACAAGCCTTGTCTCGTCATACTTACTTCTTCTCCTCACCTCCAGCCCCCAGCGCCGTGTTTCCAGCCTCTCCATTACCCGGCAAGGAGAGGTTGCACGTCGACGGACGCCATCAATCGCTGCTCCTGTTGACTCGTCACCAGCCACAGCTGACGCTCCGACCGTCGATCACCCCACAGAACGCGACCGCGATGGCTGAAGGGTCAATCAAGTCGCGGATTGCGGCATTGAACCTCGAAGAAGTGCATACTCCTGTACCGGGAGCCAAGCCGACGTATTCCTATGATGCCTCGACTGCTAAGAGGAAGCCGCCTCCGCCTCCGCCCAGCTCGCGCCCGCCCGCCTACTCGCGCCAGACAGTCAACAACCCGCCAGTCCTCAGCAATGCGCCCACGTCGGCGCGACAACTCGGCAACCAGCCCATGGTAGTGCACGAATCCGAAAAACCCAAAGTCTCGCCCGCGCTACCTCCTCGCCCACCTCCGCGCAACGCCAGTACGCCTCGGCCATCACCAGCACTGCCACCGCGCAAGGCGTCCGAGCCAAGCGTGAGGAAGCGCGAGTCGTCTGAGTCGATTTCTACCATCGCTTCGGGCATATCGACACTGTCACTGGGCTCTGTCAAGACAAACGGGACAAGTCATAGCAATGGAAGTACTGGCACACTTTACCAGGTCAGGGCTCCAGCCTACGATCCGTCAAAGCTGCCACCACTGCCAGCCAAGAAAGCACCCGAAGACTCCAAACAGAGCAAGGCGACGCTTAACGCAATGAAGAGTAAAAGAGATTATGTGCCAGCTCAGGCGCTGCCACCCAAGCTGAAGACCCCTAGTGAGTACAGACAAAGACAGTCTGCTAGAACATGGCTAACGAAAACGCAAAGATCTTCCAGCAAGACCCTCCCTCCCTCCTAGACAGTCCATCACTCGCGAGCAATCACCTCGGCCTGTGCCAGCGTTGCCACAGAGGCAATCTTCAAACGACACCTCCCGCACCAACAGAGCGATCGCACCACCGCCACCACGACGATCGGCGTTGGAGATGGGGTTCAACAACAAGGCTCCATCGCCTCCTCCTGTGCCTTCAACTCGGCCAGCAGCTGTTTCTTCTGACTCAGCACCGAATCTTGGAGCACCGCCGCCCGTCCCAATGTCATCAAGACCAAACCTCAGCGCAATCATGGCTTCCAAGCCGAAACCAGGTGCCGTTGCAAGTTGCCTTGTGTGTCGGGACTTTTCAGGACCAGACAATCATGCTGCGCAGTTTCCTCGTGCTCAACTCCCCTCTTCCGATGTGGGTTGGCTTGCTCATCAACTGTGCTCTCAATTCTCCTCACCTACTGATAAAGCGCGAGCTATATTCACTTGGCTGCATCACAACGTTGACTACGATGCTCACTCGTTTTTCAACGGTACCGTTTCGCCTTCTACCCCCGAAAAAACTATCGCATCAGGCCTGGCAGTATGCGAGGGCTACGCCGGTCTCTTCGCTGCTCTAGCTCTGAAAGCAGGTCTCGAGGCTATGGTATGTTCCGGTGCATCGAAAGGCTACGGCCATTCACCTCTGGAGCCTGGACAAGCTGTGCCACCCTACAAATCAACACATGCTTGGAATGCTGTCAAAATCGACAACGGAGAATGGAAGCTCATCGATTCCTGTTGGGGAGCTGGAGCGCTTGGGTGTCAGAACCGTGGTGAAGGGTATGTTTGAGAATACATTTCAATATTTGTCGATGCTGAATTAATGACTAACACCCACCAGATACATACGGTCCTTCAACCCTCGCCAATTCACCATGGACAACAACGAGTTTGGGTTGAAGCATTACCCGGGGGAGGCTTCTCATCAATTCCGTACTGATGGACGCATCATGTCATACGAAGAGTTTATGCGAGACGATCAAGGTGGACGCGTTCTTATATTCGGTGACGCTTCCAAGGAACATGGCCTTGGCGAGCGAACATTTGAACCATCACAGGCACAGATCAAAGTAAATGACCCATACGCCCCGGCGGTTGTTCGATTCCAAATGTCTTCGGTCTGTCCGCACTGGGACAATGCGCGCCATGGCAAGGGTGCGCCCTACGTTATGCTTCTGAGCGTTGCCGGTAGAGACGGGCGGAAACCGGACTACAAGACGTTCAACACGGACGGGCGCACTTGGTGGCTCGACGTACCTCGCATCGACCTCGGTGCACCGGGCCAGAAGATTTCCCTTAATGCAGTTACGGTCTTCAACGACAAGGATGCGCGTGGCATGAGCGTTGCTGCTTGGAATAACAAGACGGCGTACTCGTGCAAGTTTGGGGGCGTAGCCCAATGGGAGCTTGTTTGATGGGGCTCTGGAACATGGCGATTGACACGACGTGGAAGTCACTGGCGATGATGGAATTATTGTATGGATACCCTGGATTTGATGCGCTTTGCTTTTGGGCGACGATGCAAGCTTCTTTAGACAAACACGCGTAATGAACAATAATTATTCTTCCTTCTGTCTCCTATTCATGTGCTTCAGCAGTGTATGCGAAGAAACTCCTTTTCGATGAATTACACGTATTCCAGGTAATATATCCTAACGCTATATGCGTGGTCACTTTCTGGACAAAGTGAAAGGAAGAGGCTCATGTACAGCTCTGGGGTCAGTTTTGGTGTTTACGGTACAGTTTGGTGAAGAGCGATGTCGTTTCGTGTTCAAGCACCTGCATGTGAAGATGCAGCCCTAGATCAACAGCCGTTGGCGGCAGGACTGTGGCTGACCGCTAGCGCCTTAGCACGATCCGCGAAATAGTGCACCTGGGGTATGGGCTCCTACCTGAGTGCTCTCCACCCTCAACTCGCCTGACCTGGGGGTCGCATCTTCGTCAACCTTCTTCACGATAGCCCGCGAAGTCGCCTGTGAATGATTCTTGCCTTCCGCTCGGCCTCCAGGAAATATTGCTCCCCGAGGAACTTTCGCTTCGTCCTAAGGCTTGGGAGAACCTCCCTCGCCCGCGCCCTCCACCGCCAACATGGCTTCCACTTTTGTTGGCTTATCGGTCGCGGTGACACTACAGAGCCCTCCAGGTGCTGTCGTGCTGGGTGTGGTCAGTGGTGTTGATCAACACACGGCTACTCTGACGCTTCAAGATGGTACGTTCTGGTCGGAGGCATTGTTTATTTGTGGGCATGCGCTGATGGTTACAGTCTTCTTCCCAAACTCTGGTCACCGTGTGCCTTCGTATAACGTCGAAGGACATATGATCGCCGATATCAAAGTCACACCCTCTGCGCCCGCTCCTCAACCTCTTCCATCGCGATCCGAGCCTCCTGCATACCCGCCATATCCCCAGAACCATGTTCAGCACCCGCCACCGCATAGTGGACAACAGATTCCGCATCTCGTCAGCCAACCGTCGTCGGGCCCGCCTACAGGTGCACCTGTCTACCAGAACGCTCGTCAAGCGCCCCGCCAAGTCGCTCCTCAGCCAACTCCAGCTGCGCCGTTCGTCGACCCCGCGATTCTTAGCATGGGGAAGCGCACCTCGACAGTTCCTTCGTTGAGCTCTGCCGTTGCTGCGCCTCCTCAGGAAGCTCCTGCCACGCCCATCAAGCCCATAGCTGCTGCAAGCGCTGCGGCTTTACCGAAAAACACATCTCCGTTCGTGGGCCATGCAAAGAAGACCAACGTTCGAAAGCCGAGTGCAGCCACTCTAGAGGGCCCATTTTCGTCGCTGGACATCGCGGATGCTGAAGAGGCAGATAGTGAGGCGCGTACAGGACAGCTAGCTGCGCGAAGGGCAAGCATTACCAAGACCAGGACCGGCAAGCCAATGGATGATCCTAGTCCGCAGAAGAACGACGACAATGGCAAAAAGACTCGAAGAGGAGGCAAGTCTCGTAAGAAGGAGCTTGCTGCTCAAGAGAAAAAGAATGGCGATATCGAGACTGTCAAGAAAGGGTACGTGATATTCAGATTCAGAGGCCACTAGTCCCATGTACAGAAACTAACCCTTACTAGCAAAGGCAATGGTTGGAGGAACACTCCAATGCTACAAGCCGCCGAACAGCCACAGACAAGAACTCCCGGGGTTATAGGCGGCAGAGTCGGTCTTGCAGCGGCAAACGCTTCAAATCGTAAGACAAAACGGCAGCAGGCGCTGGAAGCCACAAACGGCTGGGCTACAGAAGACGCGACAGATATCCAGGACATGCCCGAATTCGACTTTCAGAGCAACCTCTCGAAATTTGACAAGCGCACGGTGTTCAATCAAATCAGGAACGAGGACACAACCGCAGATGAGGATCGTCTGGTCAGCTTTAATCGCCTGGCAAGGCCTGGAACACACGGTGGAAAGAACCTGCATCCTACAGAGAATGTGCTAGATCGGAAGCTGAAAAGTACCACCAACACAAGCTCTGAGGAAGAGGAAGACGAATTCGGCAGCGGGCGCAACTCTAGACGTGCAATGTCCAGAGCCTCAGTCAAAAGGGCGCCAACACGGCAAGGCAGCGGTGTCCAGGCTGACTTGGATATGATGGGCTCAGGCGTATTGCCGCGCACCAACCGTTCGTTCGTCTTGAATCGACCTTATGCATCCTCACACGCTACCGGTAGCCCCAGGCCGGGTCGCGTTGCTTCACCACCGGAGTCACCTCTTGACTCGAGCGCGAAGGGCTGGTTACGTCTCACATCAAATAACCGCAAGTGCTTCGCTATCACTCCTGGTGCCATGCTGGCGGTCGAGGAGACTGCTGAAGTGGAGTTTGGTCTAAACGAGGATATCATGGCAGAGAGCTCAGGACGAGGCATCGCAGAAGTTGCTTTGACCGCGATAAATCCAGGCGGCAGACGTCTCGCACGCGACAATCCCAATGCCAACCCTGTCATTGTCGTCTTAGCTGGCAATCACCGTGGAGGTGCACGCGCCGTAGCAGCAGCACGGCACCTTGCTCAACGTGGACCGAAAGTCATGGTTGCACTACTTGGTTTCGAACGCAATGCAGACTGGGACAAGGATATCCGACGCCAGGTCGAACTTTTCCGGAAGTTTGGCGGCTCCGTTCGTGCATGGAGAGATACGGAAGAAGCTCTGAAGCGTCTACAAGCACCACCCGAGCTCATCATTGACGCCCTGCTTGGCCGTCACAAGGAGTTTGAGGCGCTTGGCGATGAAGATCAACGAGTGGTCCTAAACATTGTAGGTTGGGCAAACAAGTCAAGAGCAGCCTGTCTCGCTGTCGAAACGCCGTCGGGTGTGGGCGGTTCTACGGGGGAAGTCTCTATCTTAGAAGGCGAGCCACTGGAAGTTCGCGCGAAGTACATCGTATGTCTCGGTGCACCACGAACAGGTCTTGTAAAAGCGCTCCAGAACGGTGCTGGACGCGATCCACAGTGGCTTATCTGGATCGTCGATATTGGTGTCAATAGACCCTGGCGCAATGCTGGCATCAGCGGTGGCAAAGGCATAAAGTTTGGCGAGCAATGGGTCGTACAGGCGCAATTCGAGGAACCAGCTACAGTGGACGGCGCACGGGCTTAGGATGCCTTTATGTCAGAAGCTGAAGAGAACTCGGGAAAAGATTTCATCGTCAAGCGTTTGCGCCAGCGGCGACAGCGAGGTGCAGTACAAAGGAGCTCGGTCTTGCCTCTCAGCTAATGCTCAATGTGCATCCTGATTGTATTCGAGGATACCTCTTCAGGCATGACTACAGCTTGGAGAACAACGAGCTTTTCGGCAAAGAGTTGGAGGATGAATACTGTTGTCTAGGTCAGCGGATCTGTGATTTTACATGCATTGCGTGGGCGTTTGTCGTACGTGCGTGTTGAGCATTGGCTTCCACTCTGGGTTGTAGGATGATTAACGGCATTATGGGACACCAAAAGCTATCGTTGGGTATTGAATGGCCGAGGGGCATAGCGATGCTTAGAGCACGCGATAATACATCGTACTGAAGAAGTCTATAGCCCTGTAATTCGTCGTCTGTATATGTCTTTGTCCTGGCCAACAATCATTCACACAGTCTGAGTTAGAGTGCGCAACGCGCCATCGCAACAGATAACAACCCTCCACGTGTGGTGCAGTCCTGTCATCGAGACTCGTGTTGAGCTGACATGCGATCCGGAGAGTGGACAATGTCTATCGTCCTATGGTTGTGACAGGAGCGTGATTGCGGTACCAGATCACAAATCCAAGGATGGATGCGTATTGGAGCACTGTTCAATACTATATTACTATGCAGTGATCGCAGTGGAATCAAAGGTGAGACCCAGCCTTCTTCCACTTGGGGCTTGTGTCCTTGTCCAGCCCGGTAACAAAACCGCATACCCTTTTGACAAGATCCTGGACTACTTCTTCAGGGTCATCGTCAAGATTGTGGTGTGCCCCTGGAATCACGCCACCATCTTCGTCATCTACAACCCCGCCGCCTTCGCGAATTATCCTTGTCCAGCGCTGAAGCAATGCTGCTCTGTCGATCTTTGCAGGCACATACGGGTCCTTGGATCCTAGCAGGAAGCATACCGGCGTGCTCTTTGAGATTTTGCCAAACGTTGTCGCAAAGTGTTCGTCGGAAAGGTCGCTCGAGAAGTAGTCGTCATCTCCGCCCTTTGAGAGGAGCGAGTATGCTCGGTATGCGTTGAGTGGTCCCCCCATATCCTTGAATACAGCGTTGCTCTCGGGCGACAGGATCTCCTTGGCTTTGCCCATATCGATCAATTCCTTGGATTTCCTAATCGCTTCTTCCAGCTCTTTCCTTTTCTCTCCTTCTTTATAGTAGTCCTCCCATGCCTCTCGATCACTGACACCGCCCTGCAGTATGACCCCGTCCAACGACTCCCTCCCCTCGTGTCCCTTCCCAAGCAGATACTCCATGATATCTTGACATCCCGTTGAGTGGCCCATGATTACAATCTTCGTCTCTGGCCGTAGCTTCCTAAAGTAGGACACGCATTCGCCGAGCTCACGCGCATCGCGAGCGAGGCTACCAGTACCCCAGCCTTTGTAGGACGAGGAGATGAGGACTTCGGATATGACCCAGTCAGATGGAAGTTTATTGGCGATGGCGGAGGGGTATGGGACGGTGAGGAGGCCATCTGTTAGGCCTCCGACCCAGAGCAAAGTGTTTGGCGCTGCGCTGGATAGTGGGCGGGGGTTGTGCTCGAATGCGATGAGGCGTTTGGAGTACTTATGAGCGATGCCGTTATTTGCCATTGTTGCAATACTCAACTGGGCACGAGAAGACGAATCAGACACAAGTGCAACCAATACTTTCGGCAAAAGAAGCTCTTTTGGTGGGTTCAGACAATGATATGATAATGGTAGATAACAAGGACGAGCAAACAACAATCGCGTCGAGCTTCATCGACGCGACGTTTGGTGGGGGCGCAGATCAAAATCTAATCAGATGGCGGGGTAGCTTCTTTGCTGCCATCTGAGCTCTCTCCGACTCCTCTCAGCTTCCTCTTCGCCGCTACAACTAAGCGTTTCAAAGTTAGTTTGGATATGATGAGAGGGCTCAAACGCTTATGACACTGTTCATGTTTGTAAATTTGCTGACTGTAATTCGATGTTGGCTGTAAGACAGAGTTTATTAGATATGCACCTATTCGAAGTTTCTCTCGGATGGGGTTTGTGATGCCAGAACATCTAGAGCTAAGCCATGTCGTCTGAATTCTATGTGAGTTATGATTATGGTTCCCGAAGATGAGCAGGCGTCCTCGCTCGTTAGCTTGACTAGGGTACAGATGATGTCCATTGTTAGTCTAAGCTGCATCATTTACATTTTCTTTTGACGAAAACGTCTTTGCAAGGACACGACCTTTGCAGCGGCAGAGAAAGCTGTTTGTGCCCAAGGTTGTTGATCGGGCTCTGTGCTGTGAGCGCTCCGGTCATCCGATAGCAATAGCGAAATAAGCAAGCATGTTCCCATACAACAACCTTAACGTAATCCATCTTGCACCAAGTGAGGCTTCTCGTAGTCGTTATGCGTACTGAGGAGCGGTTGAAAATCGAGCAGCTGTTCCGGTATCACCCAGAAGAGGAAGCCGGCACCTCTGCTGACATCTCGGGGTTCGGGGGAAGGTGCGACCCCACTGGACGCAAGCTACCCCTCACAGCCATATGCGTAACCCCACTTAGAGCTCTCGGGCTCTCCAAATGCCTGGAAACAAGACGGAACACGGACGCGTTTCCGTGTGGCCACAGCAACACGGCATATGTCAAATGACATGAAGGATTGGGCGAAATGATTTACGTGTCGTCGGGTCGGGTATTGAGGGATTGATTAGTTTCTCGTCATGCTCTTCAAATTCCATCTGCCTTTTGTGCAATCTCTCCATACTTTCGGCACATTTCATTGAATTGAACACACAGCAGCCACAATGTCGTGTTAGTATCCTTGTGTTGCATACACACGAATCATCCGCCTAACACACGCAGCGAGACACTTCATTCACGACCCGACACACCTCGTCGAAACCGCCCTTCTCAGCATCCCACAAACAAACCCTTCGGTGCAATGCGATATAAACAACAAAATCATCTACCGCAAGAATGGCGCATCACAAGTTAGCATAGTTTCTGGAGGCGGCAGCGGTCATGAGCCCTCATTCGCGTCTTTCGTCGGTGCTGGCCTACTATCTGGAGCAGTCGCAGGCACAATCTTCGCATCTCCAAGTGCAGAGCAGGTGCGAAGATGTATCTTGCATCGCATTCAGAAAGACAAGGGTGTTCTCGTGATAGTAATGAACTACACCGGCGACGTGTTGAACTTCGGCATGGCAGTCGAGAAGGCGCGTGCTGCAGGTATTGAAGTCGACATGGTGGTGGTCGGCGACGATGCAGGTGTAGGGCGCGCAAAGGGAGGAAAGGTTGGACGGAGAGGTATTGCGGGGACAGTACTTGTACAGAAGATTGCTGGTGCGCTCGCTGCGAAAGGGTGCGCAACCATACCAATTCTATGGCTTACAGGTTGACGATCGCTAATATGGCTGTAGAGCGAGTCTCAAGGATGTAACGCGCATGGCACAACTCGTCGCAGACAATACCGTCTCGATTGGATCTTCCTTGGCGCACGTCCATGTTCCAGGTCGGCGAGAGGCAGAGGAAGACGAGCTTGCGGAAGGCTTAGTTGAGATAGGAATGGGCATTCACAACGAAGCCGGCTCTGAGCGCAAGTCGACAGATCTCCCTGGCCTTGTGAAGACGATGTTATCGCACTGCTTGGACGTCGCGGACCAAGATCGCAGTTTCTCTAAGATCACCGACAAGGACGATGTGGTACTGCTAGTCAACAACCTGGGAGGTGTCAGTCCACTCGAGCTCAGCGGGATCACGAACGAAGTCGTCGACCAACTGGCAGACAACTTTAAGATCAAACCAGTGCGAGTTCTGGCTGGTACCTTTATGACTAGTCTGAACGGACTGGGCTTCAGCGTCAGCTTGCTAAGAGTCGCTGACGCTTCTATGCTTGAACTGCTCGATGCACCCGCAGAGGCGAGTGGCTGGTCAGCGGCAATTAGTAGCAGCACATGGGCACGACGAGAAGAAGCGAAAAAGAGCGAGGAACAGGTAGACGAAGAAGAGGTCCAGCCAAGTGACCTGAGGGGTAGGTATCTGCCGCGTTGCACAGGGTATGTGCTAACTTGGATAGTCAACTTTGCTCAGGCCAAATCAACTTTGGCAGTCGCATTGAACAGGCTCATCGAGGCTGAACCAGATGTGACCAAATACGATACTATAGTGGGGGACGGCGATTGCGGCATCGGACTCAAGCGCGGCGCAGAAGGTAAGGTATCGTCACGTGTACATTGTTACCTAGCGCTGACACCCAGCAGCAATTTTGAAGATGCTCGAAACGGCAGATAAGACGGATGATCTGTTGATCCTCATGAATCACATCATTCAAGTGGTGGAACTGGCTATGGACGGCACGTCAGGCGCAATCTATGCCATCTTCCTGAATGCATTGGCCCATGGGTTGCGACAGAATGCGCCTTCGTCACCACAGCCTGTCACACCCGCAATCTGGGCCAAAGCCCTGGACTCGTCTCTCAAGGCACTTGGCAAATACACTCCTGCCAAACCTGGAGACCGAACACTTATGGATGCGCTCTATCCGTTCGTTGAGACATTATCCAAGACGGAAAGTATCGAAAAAGCGGCTGCAGCGGCACAAGGTGGTGCTCAAGGGACGAAAGGTATGAAAGCGAGCTTGGGGCGAACGGTGTATGTTGGAGGCGAGGGGTTCCAGGAGGTGCCAGACCCTGGCGCGCATGGCCTTGCGGAGCTTCTGTTGGGCCTGAGTGATGGATTGAAGAAGTAGAAGTTGGGTATCGTTGTTTGATTCGTTCGGTATTCATCGCCGTTGCGACGGTTATGTAACTTTTAATTCATCCAAACTCCATTTCGCGTGCCTCGATCTGTCGCTACCGTCCCAAATGCCTACTACGTCCGAGCTCTTATGATAGCAAAACAAGAATGACCGAGTCGCCTCGTAGGAACCTGGATGGATCAGCGAGTGCGCAGATATGATTGGTATGTGAACGCACAGCTTAGAGATGAAGCGATCCTTGTTAACCTTCCTTCCGTAGCTGCCGTTGGCTAACCGGGGAGTCTCAGTCCACATCTCTTTCGCGTTCTCGAGAACCATATTGCAATGACGGTCGAAAGCCTTCACACGTGCGAGAATCTTGCGGTTGTTTCGGCACGAGATTAGGACTTGTGTGCGCGAGCGGACGGCGGTCTGAAGGATAGAGAGGGGACCGGTGGTGAGCTCGTGTTCTTCGACCTGGGCAACTTCGTACTCGCTAGGCAGCAATGTCAGTATGTATAGGAGCTGAACGTACAAGCGTGTACATACGTCAACTCAGAACGGGGCTTGGAAAGAAGCTCTCTGCGCCATGTTAGCTCATATAGCGGTGAATGGTCTGGAAATGATACGTACTGAATCTTTGCGTCCACCATTTTGTCGGCTTGAATGGGTTATAGGGCAAAGGGGAATAAGTTTGAAACTATCACAGTCAACTTCCAGCTCTCGAGCTTCTGCCTGCGAATTTTGATATACTGCGCGGAGGAATAGCGCGCAAGGATGAGGTCCGGCAAAAGATATGCACAGACCAAGGGTGGGTTGACTGACCTAGTGTGAGAAAGGAGGACACCACGGCAACGCGCTTTGATGAGGTGGATCGGTCGGCGATGGTATGAAGCAGGGCGATGAAGTGAGCGAGCTTGGCAGAACTGGGAGCTGGAGCTGCACTTTTTCCGTTGCCGAGCCAATCAACGCGTCGTCTGTGGGGCTGGAACTTTGGCATGGAAGGTGCGTCACGCGTCTTTGTCCTCCCCACGTTAGCGCGGCGCGGGTAGCGTCAAACCTCCGAGCTCGTGCGTCCATCTTCACTTTCACCTCACGACATCATTAACGACGCTATCTACGTTCCTTTTCTTCCCTTCTTATACGCGTGCTGCTGCCTGTTTCGAAAGTATCTGCATGCGAAAGTACTTAACGACCCATTTACCCCGCCAATTCGTCTTCCAGTCGCTTTTAGCCTCGCTTCTTAGTTCATCTGTAACGCGTTCGCGATGATCGCACGCCAGCCACCGATCGCGATATAACACTGACCACCACCCTTCTATCCACGACAACCTTCCCATCCCCTCTCCAACACGGCCAGCCTATCCTTTGTCAACTCCATAGGTAGCCATGTCGACACCGTCTGGTACTACGCCGGATCTCGGTGCTTCACAGCACGGCCACACACCGTCCGTCACCGAGGATAGCACCATGGACGAAATCCCGCGCAGGCAAATGCGAGGCAAGCATATCTGCTCATTCATCACGTTTCCTTCTAACACGGCTGCACTACAGTCAAGGTACTCTACACGTTCGACGATCAGAACAAGTCGAATTGTCTGGCCCGTCTGCCAAGCGTGCTGAATGTGCCTGTCGTATCGCTGGACGAAACTACCGAAGTGGGAGTCATCGAACTCAAGACCTGCATTCAGGCTATTGTAGCTGCAAGGTGGGTCGACTCCCTTGCTTATTGGTTGCAAGAAACAGTGCTCACTACTGCAGTCCTGAGCTCGTGGCCAAACTAGGTCATGATTTCACCGTATACGCTTACGATTTCTCCGAGTACGAAACGCCGCTGGTAGGCCAAGGCATGCTGTCATGGATTCTTGCCTCAGCATCGTCCACTCCTAATGCCCCTGCCCAAGATTCCCAAACCATGGTCACAGGTCGCGTGTGCAAAAATATTCTTGGCATCTTTTCGAATGGGGTCAAAGAGACTCTAGAGGTCAAACTGAAGCTGGTGCCTGTTCCGACATGCATGCAAAAGGAATACGTGGAGAACATGGAGCGGTATCACAGTCTCAGTCAGCTGATGCCTGAAGGTTTCGACTACAACGCCTGGTCCGACTTTTTAAGAGAGAATCCAACATTAGGTCATTTGGCCCAGCCAAGCCCATACCCTGCACAGCCTTCGCCACGACCTTCCATTGGTGGTGTTGAGCCATTCCACCAGATGCTCACACGCCATAGCCCGTCCCAGGAACCACCCCGGAATGACTCCTTTTATGATCAGTCCAACATGTCTTTCATGTCTCAGCCAACTAGGGCATCCAGCCCTGCTATGAGTACTCTCTCATTCCACCACTATCAGTACAACCCTCCGTCACGACCAACGTCACGGGCCTCCGTGCGGAGTGAAGCCGCCCCGCCGCCTCAGCAACTGCACTTCAGCGATCCTTATATAATCGAACAGCAGGAGGATGGACCCCCAAAGAAGAGGGCTCGAATCACGCAAACCACGAGGCCTCGGAACACGCCGCTGAACGCCCATAACGATTCACTGCGAGTGACGGCCAGCACAGCAGCATCTGTACGTCTCCTCAAACCTGCTCTTAGCACCTCAGGAGCTGCTTCAGACATGGTGCCCCGTGCGCCAACCCCTCGCCCTGGCGAGAAGTTCGGTCAACGAGGATCGCGCCGCCCTCCAGCCCCAAGCACTTTAAGACATGCATCTATGGATGGAGGACGACCGTATATGTCTCCTTACGAGTCTAGTGCCTTCTCGGATAATGCACTGGAGTCGGCGGACGAGAGAGATGGAAGCCCTGGAGATACCCCAATGCCTTCGTCGCCTCCTATTGGACCGAATCGAACCGCGTCACCCGATGGTTCAAGCCCGAATCTCCCAACACTGCCCCCGAATGACTCCGGTTTCGTTAGCGATATGCCAACAAGCCGAGATGGTAATAGTATGGAGCTTGACAAGCTTTGGCATGATGGAGCATTACAAGAGCAACGCCGCAAGTCTATTACACAGCCAGTCACTGAGAGCATCGAGATGGACATGGGGACTGCTCAGGCCTTCGATTTTGATACCATGGACCAGGATATCTTCAGCTCGGTATATTTCCAGGGTCAAGACACGAATGACGATAACGATCTGACCGCAAGGCTTTCGATGGCACAACAGAGTAACAATCTCGACAATCAGACTACCGACGCCTTCCAAAAGTCACGAGCTACAGTGTCGACAGCTGGCTCGCCTGATGGTATGGTGTCGCAGATTTCACCCACAGCGGAAAGCGAAGCACCGGTCTACAGTCGCTCCGCTACCCCGAATCCTCCCCCGAAGCAAACAAAGTCGTCCAAGCCAAGAGGGCTTCCCAGGTCTCATACATGGTCTGGAGCTGAGCCCATGTCTGATGCACCTACACCGTCAGAATACGGGTATCCCCGAAGTGGATCAGGTGCGAAGAGGAAAAGAATTATCAAGAACAAACTCGATGCGGCTATCCGGAAAGGCGAAATGCCAACCCATTGTGTAAACTGCGGAGAGATCGACACAGTCACATGGAGGAAAGCTTATACACGTGTGGAGAAAGGCTCGCCCAAAGACATCGAACTATCCACTGACTCAGCTGGCACCGACATTATCGCATATGAAGTAATCGAACCGACATCTGAGGATGGCGAACTAAAATACCGCATCTTCAAGAACAACTTGACGCGCGAAGACAAGGACATAGTAGCTGCAAAGTCCTCTGATGCGTTCGAGGAGCTCAATTTGTGCAACCCATGTGGACTCTGGCTTATCAAGAAGTTTTCGATGAGACCGCAGAAGGTGTGGGATAGAGCTGCGCGCCTCGCAAACCGAAAGAAGCAGCAAAAGGTAGCACGCTCTAAGTCTATGAGCGGTGGTGACGATCTCATGTCTGACGCTGTCTTGCCTGAGTCTGAACCTGCCATGCCTGCTGAACAAGAGCAGAGTGCTTCATCTATCGATAGGACTCATGACGGGACGATGGCACCACCAGTTGTTGCGCCTAGCGCGCGTGGACTTGATTCTGAAGCTGCACAGGCTGCTCTGGAACGAGCCCTTGAGTCCAGCCCTGTCGGAGTAAGAGGAAGCAAGGCATCTCCCATCGAAATCGACCAAGATCTTACGCCGAAGCCTACAAGACGACTGCTTTTTCCTTCACCTAGGAAGCAAGGTCGGCGCAAGACTCTGGCTGAACCACCACCTGCCCCTGTCACTGAGCCAATCGCCACTCCAATGTACCTCCCTGACGATGACGCACCCAAGAAGCCCCGTTGTCAGCGATGCAAGGAGCTTAAGAGAGGCTGTGACCGTGAGCGACCATGTGGCCGTTGCGAAAACGCTGGTATAGGTCACGACGGCTGCATTCCATGTGTGACAAAGCAAACGTATTGGTTCGAGCAACCTGTGGTGCAAGTGGCCACCGCTGATCAAGAAAACCCTGACAAGGAGAACTGCCCGCCTCCTACTGCAGAGGCAGATGACCTGGCCCATCTTTTCGAGGATTCTGCCCCGCCAAAGACTACGCCGAAGAGCACACCTAAGAGGGACCAAGTAGCCCAAGACCCCTTGAAGACCCCTACTCCAAGCACGCGCAAACGCATTGCCCTAACGCCGAGGCGAGGTGCAGGGAACGGAGATGCGCCTTTGACGCCATCCCGTAATATCCTGACTCCTCGTACCACACGTGCGGCAACAGCTGCACCCGACACACCGTTCACCCGTCAACTCAACGCGCTGTTGTCTGACCACCCAATATCGTCGCCTTCCCAGGCTATTGATTTTTCAGCCTTCCCTACATTCACCACGCCCGGTCGCACTGATGCTCAATTTAGCGAGTTCTTGTCTGACGACTTTCTTTCCAGTGATATGCCTGCAAGCAGCTCGCCATCGAAGAACGGCTCGCTGGGGCTTGGTTTTGACCTCTACGAAGACCCAAACACGTCTACTGTGGGATTATGGAGTGGAGATAACATCTTCGACAACGAAACCATGATGTTGGATATGAGGAATGGCTCCAGGCGCGGTAGTGTAGATGGAGATGACGGACCCGATGCCGCTACGTTGCTCAAGATGAACGTCGGCGGTATGACTGTTGACTTTGCCGCCATGATTGAGGAGGTTGTTGGTGCTGCCAACAAAGAGGCAGACGCGACCAAAGCCACGAGTAAATACTCAGAAAAGGATATTAAGCTGGAGCCTGAGAGTCCAGAGGCTGAGAGTGAAGGCGCAGGCAAGACACCCGACGAGCCTACGGTTTGAGGCTTAGGACTTATCACGGTGTCACGATTCTACATACCCACCACTCTGATTACCAAGGCGTTTAGCGATCTGCGTATCCATGGCATGAACAAACGAGGGATGATCAATTTTGTATACTAGTTCTTACACATCTGCTCAGAGCTTATGCTCAGCAGGCTGTTCGCAGATAAGCGCGATTCACGTCTTTATATACCCAATAAACAGCTTAGACTATACATGTTCTTCCTTCATTCCGCTCTCCTTGCCATCCAACATTCTGGCTCTAACCACCATTGCAGACTGAACATGTCTACCGAACTGTTGTGTTCGTTCGATTAGTGTATGTCCGCAGAGAGTATATGTGGCGTTGTAGAAGTTGTACATCACGCCGTGTGGGGGCCGAGAATGTGAGGTTGTAAACGAAGCCGTTCGATCTTCTGATAGACTGTACTTGGGTTAAAGAGTTTGTGGTAGGTAAGTAGCGGTGTTTTTGTGAAATGGGTAGCCGCAGAGTCTTGATAAAGCGTTGAGGATGTGAAGAACAGCTTGGTGTGAAACCTACTGAAATTCAGTGTAGGACGTCTTTGCGGAGCAACATTGATCTAGTGATAGACGACCTTTTTACAGTCACGTCAATCTCACGTAAGGTCAAGAGAATATGACAGCAGACCTCCGCGTCTTGACAGCTTCCTCACGAGGTTGAGATATTGGACATTGGGGTAGCGTTTCGAGAAGCTCGTACAATTGTTTTATGTTCGTCGTTCCGCCGTGATGTAATACTCACACGTCGGCACTGGTGTAGGGAAGGTTATTTAGCTGACGGAACTATAGACACCTTGACATGGCTACAAAGTACATTTTTGACAAGATTGACAAATTCTTGTGAACCGTGAGTTTCTCTGGAAGTCAGGCATACGATATGATGGCTCCAACTATGTTGAGGTAATGATGCCAAGGTTCGACGGGAAACGAAAACGAGGCAGGGTGGAGGTCATTATGGTCTGCTTCAAATATGTTTCAGGCAAGAACTATCCCGCACAGACGCACAATTTGCAGTCAGACGATGACAAGGGGTCTTACTGATAAATATCGTATAAGTCGTTGGTATGTGAAGGTTGAGCCACGTGATGGCGTTGCGCAATCGCGTTTGATGACGTCAGAGTCCTGACAGATTGTGCTCTTACCATCGATCGCGCATATACGCTCGTTCGCCATCGACAACTACACATCGACACCTACGAAGTAATACATATACGCAAGAAGGGACACACGGGAATGCAGTTCAGTGTGATTTATTCGTTTTGTTCGAGCGTTGGCTCTGAACTCGTGTCTCTATAAGATACGCTGCAAGAAAACATATGCTGCCATCGTCCAATCATCACTGCTTCCAACAGCTTACTGCGACGAGCCACCAGAGATGGTCAGGACCTGGCCGTTAACCCAACCGCCGTCCTCTGAAGCGAGGAACGCAACGACCCTGGCAACATCCTCAGGTACCGCACACCGTCCGAGTGGGCAGTGGTTTGCCATAAGGGTCTCGATCTTCTCCGCTGGCCAGTCAGGCGAACCGCCAGGGATGTAATGCCATGCATTCTGTGTGAACATGTCTGACTTGATTCCACCAGGTGCGACACCGTTGACGGTGATACCGCGCTTTCCGAAGTCGGTCGCAAACGCCTTGATGAAACCGATAACAGCCATCTTAGAGGCATTGTAAAGGGCGTGGTCCTTTACACCGAGGAGACCAGCTGCGATGGAGCTCATCAGAATAATGCGGCCGTTGTCCTCAATGTGCTTGTACGCGGTTTGGCCGACGAAGAACTGTGCTCGTGTGTTCAGATTAAATACGTGATCGTACTTCTCTTCACTGATCTCCTCCGTTACGTCCCAACTCTCAGTTCCTGAGTTGCTCATGACGATGTTGATCTTGCCGAACGCCTTCTTCGCCTCCTCGAATAACCTGTTGATCTCGCTGACTTTGCTGACATCGGCCTTGATGGCTATGGCTTTGGCTCCGTTGTTGAAACCCTTGATGATTTCGCAGACCTCATTTGCTGGGCCTTCGGATGAGACGTAGTTGACGATGACGGAAGCACCGCGCTTGCCGAGCTCGATGGCGCAGCCCCTTCCAATACCGCGACCGGCACCAGTGATGAGAGCGACTTGTCCCTCAAGAGAGGCAGTGGGCACGTTGATGACCATTTTGATAGTCTGTAGGTATTTACGCGGGTGTAGATGAGTGTGTAATGAGATTGGAGACTTCAAGGTATGAAACTTAGAGCTGCTGAAATGCTAACGTGAGAATGGATTGGGTATATTGATTATGTTTCTCATGTTACACCACCTCTTTATAACCGTCTTTGCTATTCGGTCTCAAACGATGGTCTTCACGGTAGGCGGCCGCGGGCGGGGATCCGAAGAAACGAACACCGAAAATAGCTGCTTCAGGGACCTGCGGCTCTACACCTTCGCGCCCGAAGCTCTGGTCGTTTTAGCTACACACAGCTAAACCTCCCGGTAGACTCTGCAGTCCCGTTTCAAATGTCGTTGACGAAGTGCCGGCTGTTGTACGGACGTCGGAAGGAGGAGGGGCCACGGTTGTCCCCCGAGTGAGGGTGTTGAGACCTGCAATGGAGATGCGAGAAGAAGTCCGACATGGCAAATACTTCAAACTGTACCAGCAGCACATTTTCAGAACTTCCTGTGTTCCTGACATGTACGACTTGGGTATCTCAGGTTCCGCTGGTCGAGCCCTGATCGTCGGCACGATGCAGGGAGCGCCAGCGGATCTACCCATGGCGCAGGTACCGTTGTCGATGGGACACGGACATTGCCATCAACCTGCAGCGTTCGTCAACGACGTTGGAGGCTGTTGGAGGGACGGCCATGCGAAAACAAATCTAAGAGCGCAGAGGTGTTGATGCGAAGAATGAGGCGGTGACTGCCTGCTGCGGGATTCGGACTTATTGGTAGCGCGCATCACTGTCTGCCCCTCTGCATCTCTTGATCTCCAATCTACAACACGTTGTTACCAAACTCTGCATCATCGTCCCTCATAAGTCATCATGCATATTCTTGTAAGAATACCATATCTGACTGAGCCAATGGCAGACGCTGATAGCCATAGGTCACCAACGATGATGGTCCACCATCAGATCAGTCCTCGCCCTATGTACATTCGCTGGTGTCAACACTACAGAAGCATGGGCATACCGTGTCAGTCGTTCTCCCGCATACACAGAGGTCATGGATAGGCAAAGCACATCTTGTGGGCAAATCCGTATGTGATACGAGGCCACCTCTACTATCGATCATTATTCTCACTGCCCCAGATACAACCGACATACTACCGCCCCGCGCCCCTCCAAACAAACGCTGAAGGGCGTCTCACGAACCATGGCACAACGCACAACTCCCCTCTGCCATCCTCGTCGAACGAAGAAGAATGGGTGCTCATCGACTCGACGCCTGCTTCCTGCGTACAGATCGGTCTCTACCACTACTTTTCAGACCGCGGCCCGATTGACCTCGTAGTCAGTGGCCCTAATTACGGTCGCAACAGCACTGCCATCTTTTCCTTATCGTCGGGCACAATTGGTGGCGCAATGGAGGCAGCAGTATGCGGCATGAAGTCCATCGCCCTCTCGTACGCATTCTTCGACCGCAACCACGACGCCAAGATCATCAGTGATGCCAGCGAGCTCAGCGCTAAACTCATAAAACATCTGTGGGACCACTGGGATGCAAATACCCACCTTTACACCGTCAACGTACCGCTGGTTGAGAATGTTGGAGAGCGCAAGATCCTATGGACGAACATGCTGCAGAACTCGTGGAAGAGCGGAAGCTGTTTCCAGGTCGTCGAAGTACCGTCCGAAGCTGACGACACACCGTCAGACATCGAGGGTCAGATACGCAAACAAGAGGAGAAGTTTGGGAAGAAGGAGCTGAAGGCGAACTCTGAAATACAAGGTGGAGTGTCGGGCACAGACAGTGGGCGAGAAACGCCTTCAGGTCAGGCCCATATGCGGTATACACACAAGCACTTCAAATGGGCACCGACTTTCAAAGATGTGTATGAGAGTGTTGAGGCCAGTGAGCCCGGCAATGATGGATGGGCGGTCGCGCAGGGCTTTACCAGTGTGACTCCACTACGGGCAAACTTTATGCATGTGAATGGGTTTGAGGGAGAAATCAACCTGGGTGCGGGGGCTTCGTAGATTTGAATCTCGAACAAGACGATAAACCAATATGGCCAAGTGAAAGTCTTGAGCTTTCAAACTATCCTTCGAATCCACGGCGACTGAGTCCACAAACCAGTTATACTTTGAATAGGGGTTGTTTTGTGAATGTGGAAGACAAGTTAACACTTCACTTGCAAGAAGTAATATCTGACCAAACTCGGATAGTGCCATTTGGAATAGGCAGAGTGCCATATTGATCGTTCTATCAGGTTAGTATTATATCTAGTTGTAGTCTTTTACAAACATTTCCTGGATATGCTGGGGTATCAAGATGATTCCAGTACGCCGTCTCAACGTAGTACGCCACCCATATCCTTATGTTGCCCAAAGGCGCTGTCCAGCGCTTCAAAGCCGTAAATAACGCCATACGCATAAGAAACAAGCTACTCAAAATTGAAGAACGCATCATCGAATTGCGATTGCTCAGGGTTCTCGTACTCGTCCATATTGAAAAGATCTTCGAGGTCGTCTGTAGCCATGGTGCCCATCATCTCGTCATTTGTAGTCGTAATCGATTCTTCCTTCTTCTCTTCAGCAGGTGGCTCCGCGGCAGGCTTGGACTCGTCCACCTTTGGTGCTGGCTCTGGTTCTGCAGGCTTCACAGCAGTCGCATTGTCGTTTGTGTTGGTATTCGCCTCGGTTTTCATGTCTAAGCCTGGTAGGTCTGACATGGTGAAGTCAATGTCCATATTCGAAGTCTGGTTCGGGTTGTCGTCATGATTATCCTTGGCGAAGTCCTCGAGACCGCGTAGTAGCGAAGGCCCGTCGTTCGCGTCGTCGAGGGTAAAGTCCATGTCGGCCGAAGTGTCCATGATATCGTTGTGGGTGTTGTCGCCAGTTGTGTCCATGGCGTCGCCGAACATGGCATCGAAGTCAAACTCGGATTCCTGAGCATTGCCGGTGGTGGGCGTGCCGTCGAAGAGCGGATCTCTTTGCGGCTCCATGTCGGTCTCAATGGGCGGGGGTGGTGGCGCCTTTGTGTCTTCTTCCTTGTTAGGCGCCTCGTCCGCCTCAGGCCCAGGCTCCTTTGCGCTCACTAGCTCAGGCGCGTCCTGCGCTGGCTCTGCTGGTGGCTCGGGCGGTGCTGGCGTCGCGGCTTTTTCAACCTTGACAGGCACTTCCTCAACTGGGACGGGCGCATTCTTTGACTCTGCGGCAAGTCGCGCCTTCTCCACCTCGTGCTGCTTCGCTGCAGCTTCCTTCTTCTTGCGATGTTGCTTGAGCAGCGCCATGTCCCTGCGCAGGACGGTTTGCGCTAGACGGACTTGGTTCTCGAGCTCGTCGAGGGCATCGTGGAAGCGCTCAGTAGCAGATGGCACGAGGTGCTGCAACTGTTGCTTCATGCGACCAGTGCCGCCGCCGGCCTGTTGTTCTTTCAGAAAGCGACCGGAATTGAGGTAGACGAGGTTGAGCATGGTCTGGAGTGTCTCCATATGCTGGTTGGCAGCCATGACGCTGGCCATGATGGGGTATGCTGTGATGAGGTGCGGAGCGCGACAAGGTACGAGGCGCGACTGCAGGTGCAGGAGGGTCCGCTAGCTTCTCAGGCTAGCGGTACGGTACTACGTTCATAGCTCCCGCTCTTTCGGGTGCCTTGTGGCCTGCCGCGCTAATTCTTCGACCCTCGCCCGCTCACCTCTCACACCTCTCCTTCTTCACCCCACAGTGGAGATTATAGCTTTGCCGTCACAGCTCGGCGCAGCGCTCGTCTCTCCTATCTCTCTTCCTCTTGTTTTCCCTTGCCTTTCCTAGTGCAGTCCGCTCTCTATTGGTAGCATTAGTCGCGCTTTCCATTTCGACTTTCCTTGCCGCCTACCCAGCAGCTTTCACCCCGCCCGCCAGCGTCGACCCTCCCCGTGGCCTTGTCGCCTTCACCTCGACCGTCGCATCACCGCCCACTTGTTCGATACCCGCAGCCGTCACTTGCGCCTCTTGCGACAATTGTCTTGTGCGCTTCTTTGCGACGACAGCCATGGCCGACCAACAGAACTCCGGGGCACAGCTCCCTCCTCCCCCTTCCGCTGGCGCTCCCGGCTACGAGAACCAGGGCCAACCGCAGCAGCACATGCCGCCGCCGCCGCTTGCACCCGTCATCATCCCCCAGAATAACAACCCCATCCCGACCGCCATCAGCTCGCCCATGTCGGGCAACCCCATGTCCCCGACCAGCGGCCAGCCTGGCTACGTCCCCCGTCGCGCCGCCCCCGAGCCCAACAAGCGGGCGCTATACGTTGGTGGACTGGATCCGCGGGTCACCGAGGACGTGTTGCGTCAGATTTTCGAGACGACTGGCCATGTGCAGAGCGTCAAGATCATTCCAGACAAAACTGCAAGTTCTCCTTCTGTAAGATAACACTCCGCACCCGCTGCATGACTTGACAGCTGGCCGGGCCTATCTTGCATATGTTGCAGCATTCAAGTGCCGCTGACCGCTAACAGTTCAACTCCAAGGGCTTCAACTACGGATTCGTCGAGTATGATGACCCCGGGGCGGCTGAGCGTGGTATGGCCACTCTCAACGGCCGGCGCATCCACAACAACGTAAGCTTGGCCGTTGGCACAACCACTTACTTTTCTGACTCGCACAGGAAATCCGTGTGAACTGGGCCTACCAATCTAACAACACAGCCAAAGAAGACACTTCTAACCATTTCCACATCTTCGTTGGTGATCTGTCCAACGAGGTCAATGACGAGGTTCTCCTCCAGGCTTTCTCTACCTTTGGTCCCGTCTCCGAGGCTCGCGTCATGTGGGACATGAAGACAGGCAGGTCGCGTGGTTACGGATTCGTCGCCTTTAGGGATCGCGCCGATGCTGATCGCGCCCTTAGCTCCATGGACGGAGAGTGGCTTGGCTCTCGCGCTATCCGCTGCAACTGGGCCAACCAGAAAGGGCAACCTTCCATTTCTCAGCAGCAGGCCATGGCTTCCATGGGCATGACGCCGACCACCCCGTTCGGACACCACCATTTCCCCACCCATGGCGTGCAGAGCTACGATATGGTTGTTGCTCAGACGCCCCAGTGGCAGACCACATGCTACGTTGGAAATCTCACTCCTTACACCTCTCAATCTGACCTAGTACCGCTTTTCCAGAACTTCGGGTATGTCACCGAGACGCGTTTCCAGTCTGACCGTGGATTTGCCTTTATCAAAATGGACACTCATGAGAATGCTGCCATGGCCATCTGCCAGCTGAACGGCTACAACGTCAATGGCCGTCCTCTGAAGTGTAGCGTAGGTTGAACCGTTCTCTTTTGTTTTATTTCTTAGCTCACATTTCCAATCTAGTGGGGCAAAGATCGTCCTCCGACTGGCCAGTTTGAGGGCTACTCGCCTGCAGGCGGTCCCAACTCAGCTTATCCTCAGACGCCGAGCGCGTACTTTCCTCAGTATGGTGGTGGGCCACAAGGTGGTCCCATGTCACCCTCAGGTGAGCGGCACCGGAGGAAGCTGCAGTATCGAAACAAGCAATCTAATGCGCGGGCAGGACCCAGCCCCGGCGGACAACCCTTCGCGCAGCAGCAGCAAGCCTTTGGCAACCCTGGCATGCCCTACCAGCAACAGATGCAGCAGCCAGGCAGCGCTGGTGGCTATGGCCGCGGCGCTCCCCAACAGCCACAGTGGGGCCAGTCTCCTCAGGCAGCATTCAACCAGAATGGCTTTGGAGGATACCAGGGCTAAGCACCCTATTTGTTAAGATTTGTTCCGTTTAGCCCTGTGCCCTCTATTGTTCCAACACGCCTGTTGTTTACGGGGGCGCTATTTTGGATAGCTCCGATTTCTGGTCATATCTCATCAGCTACTTGGTCTTATGTTCTTAGGGAGTCGTTATTTAATTCCGTTGTCCAAAATGGTGCAAGCGTTGTTGTCTTATGGCATGGTTGGCACATTTCTTGTGGGATATGGTTTACGGTCGTTTGGTTCGAAATGAATCTCCTATCTCGTGTTAGTTTTCTGTTGCTACAGGCTTCGGCTCTGATTACCCCTTCACTATCTATTATGACGTTGACTCTTCTTGCGAATTCTCTTCTTGATACCAAAGCGAATTCTTATTGATACCAAAGCGGGTTCTGGTTGATACCAAAAGCTTGTTTCTCGCGGCGTATGCTGGTCGTCGCTGATGGGTTGGAATAGTATGTTGACTAGCATAGTACTCATGGTGAATTACTTGGTAGTCTGGAGGCGTAATAGATTGATATGAGACTTTGAAGCAGTAACCTTGGGAGCGTGTTACATGATTCTCTCGTGAGTTGTAAGACCTGCACTACGTACTACGTACGTCATAGAATTGCACTGACAGGTACCTGGGTGTGGCTTAGTCCATCAGAGCGTGTACCTGCGTCAAGATGCTTGGGTCCTGCATGTCCTATCAAGCTTTGTAGATACACCGCAGAAACACCGTTGAATATCGGCACGTGATGGACTGCACTAGCGCTTCCTGATTGAGACGTCGTGTCGCGTTTTGTGGGTCCGAACACTAATTGATGCTAACATTCACACCCCACCGCGCCGCAGGGTATGCAGACACTCGACATCATCTCGCTAATCCTTTCTTTTTGTCGGCGCTCTCCTTGTTTGCTGTATGCTGGTCACTCTCGGGAAGAGAGGTGCGTCGCTTAAACCGTACAATCCGAAAAGGTCGTCGCTCTTTTGCATCCATCCCGCTCGGACGCATTCGCCTCCAACACGGTCCCTTACGCACCTTCCTCGTACGCGCTTCTCGACATCACCTCTGCAGCCGCCGAACAATTCGCCTACAACCTTGCCTCGCCACGACTTCGGCTACCTCTCCTCTCGCCCCCACACAACAACTACCATGTTCAAGTCGGCGTTGCAGAACCACAATGCCATCGCGTCTGCTTCGCCCACAAACACTGCCTACAAACAGGCTTCGCTCGGAAGCGTCCTTGATCGCACTGGATCGCAGACATCATCGACGCGTCCTGTAGGAAGTGGTACGAAAACACCCGTTGGGACAACTGCACAAGGAACCAAGAGGACGTCGAGCGGATTGGCCAAGTCTCTGAGCTCGCACGAGGATGACTTCGAATACCCCACGATGACCATTGTCGGATCGGAAAAAGAGAACGAGCTGCCGGCCGCCTACCATATGACATCACGCAACAATCCGGGCATTTTACCGCAAGCCCTGTTCGATGAAGACGACTTCGACAGTGACATAGATCTTGACGTTGAAGATCCAGCGACAAAAGGCACTGTCACATACCCTACGTTACCTCGCGTTACTTCTGATGACTCGGCCGACTCGGGATACAACTCGAGAGCGCAGACTGCCGACGTAAAACCAGAGCTGGGTAGTAGCCAGCCAATACCGTGGTCTTCATCGCCTTTGTCACACTACAAAACACCACAGAGGCCTGATCCACCAAAGTCTAAGCGAAGAACCTTACCATGGGCACAGAGTCAGAAGCAGGAACCTATACAGGAAGAGGAAGAGCAAGAGGAGACCACACACCCTAGGAAAAGAGTCTCAAAGGGCGTCGATAGGCCTTTCTCGACACCAGCGAAGGACTCCAAGTCACAATCGTTTTTCAACACGACCGCGAGCGCCCTGAAGCAGCAGCGAACGACTCTCAGGGAGGCTAACAAGGCTCAAGCAAAAGCGCACCAGGGCACTGACGAGGATATAAAAGAGGCGATCAAGAAGAAGAAGAAGAACACTATTCACAAGATATTCCTCAGTGAAGAGCAACAGAACGTGTTGAACCTAGTAGCGGAATACAAGAAGAGCGTCTTCTTCACTGGATCTGCTGGTATGTGGACTGGGTTATTAGCTTGAGGCCCTGCTAACAATGACAGGTACTGGTAAATCGGTCTTGCTTCGTGAGATCATCGCAGCGCTACGGCGGAAGTACGCCCGTGAGCCAGATCGAGTAGCAGTCACAGCATCCACAGGTCTGGCAGCGTGCAACATTGGCGGTGTTACCCTACATAGTTTTGCGGGTATCGGACTTGGCAAAGAGCCCGTAGAAGACTTGGTCAAAAAGATTAGACGAAACGCCAAAGCAAAGCAGCGGTGGTTGCGTACGAAAGTACTGATTATGGACGAAGTCTCGATGGTGGACGGCGATCTGTTCGACAAGCTGGAGGCAATCGCCCGCACGATTCGCAACAATGGTAGGCCATTTGGTGGCATTCAGCTTGTCATTACCGGCGACTTCTTCCAGTTACCTCCTGTCCCAGAGAATGGACGGCAGGCCAAATTCGCTTTCGATGCAGGTACCTGGACTACAAGCATCGAGCACACAATTGGGCTGCACCACGTCTTCCGTCAGAAAGATCCCGTCTTCGCCAATATGCTGAACGAAATGCGAGAGGGCCGACTGACACAAGACTCGATTAATCGGTTCAAGCAGTTAGAGCGTCCACTGTCAAAGGGAGACGAGAGTGTCGAAGCCACAGAGCTCTTCCCTACACGTTCAGAAGTTGACAAGGCAAACACAACTCGTATGCAGCAACTCCATGGTAATACCTTTTTGTTCGAAGCTCGCGATGGTGGTACGATCACAAACAAAGAGCAGCGTGATAGGTTGTTACAGAGCTGTATGGTACCGGCGCAAATACATCTCAAAAAAGGTGCCCAGGTCATGTTGGTGAAGAACATGGACGACACTTTAGTGAACGGCTCGCTAGGGAAGATTACAGGCTTCATGACTGAGCAAATGTTCAGTATCTACAAGGAGGACGAAGAGGCTTTCCTGGAGGGTGGTCCCTCAGAAGCTGCTATGAAGACAGAGATGATGAAGAGTTCGCTCGGCGTAAACAGCAGCCAGGTTTATCCTGTAGTCCGTTTCGCCATCGCAGATGGTACCACGCGCGACCTGTTATGCAAGCGCGAAGACTGGAAAATCGAGCTACCAAACGGCGAAGTGCAAGCATCGCGTTCTCAGATCCCGCTTATCCTCGCATGGGCGCTTTCCATCCACAAAGCACAAGGTCAGACGCTTGAGCGTGTGCGCGTCGATCTTGGCAAGGTCTTCGAAAAGGGTCAAGCGTACGTTGCGCTATCCCGTGCGACGAGCATGGCTGGTTTGCAGATCCTGCGGTTTGATCCTAGGAAGGTCATTGCACACGACAAGGTGCGGTCGTTCTATGCTGGTCTCAGCAGAGCAGAGCAGGTCGAGGGCAAAGCGAAGAGCAAGACCATCCTGGGTAAGATGCAGGCTGCGAAGGTGAAGAGTGCTGAATGAGAGCGAAGATAATATGGGGTAGGTTTGAGATATTGGCTTACGATACGACGGCATAAGTGGTGTTATTGTTACAGGGCACAATGGCGTTCATGAATTGGAGAAGCTTACATGGATAGTAGCATGGTTATCCAGACTTGTAGCAATACAGCTATATTCTCACGCGGCGTTTGGAAGGCAGCATACGGAGATACCAAAACCATGCCATTTGACACAGTCTGCGAAGAACCAAATGTATGTTTGTGCCTTCTATGTCACGTCTTTCGAAAATCTGTAGAGACAACGATCGTGAGTCGTAGGAACACCCGAAGAATGTCGTGCCAGGAGCATGAAAGTAGAAGCGATCCGCCCGCTCTGCATCAATCGCAGTCGCTGTGTCGCTCCACGGGGTACGTTTCCGAGGGATGCGCGAAGACTTCCTTCCAAGGCTGTCTGCCAAGCCTTCGAGATTAATTCCTGTAGTACCTAGATAACAACATCGAAACCGCCATATACGGCTGGCAACTGGTAATCTTTGCAGAGATAACTATTTCGTCTATATGTTGCTTCTTCTGTTATCAATGTGCAGCTCCTCGACATCTAACATGGCACACACTCTTTTGATCGCCCTCAGCTTCGTGGCCGTTGTTCAAGCGCTACCATCGTGGAGCAACGCTGAGGTGAAGCAAGGAGCTACTGATGTGGCCAAAGAATACGACTACATTATAGTTGGCGCCGGAACAGCTGGCACCACGGTAGCTGATCGTCTATCCGAGGACGGCAAGCGTAAGCGATCTCTTGTCGTTTCTGATCGCCGCTCAACAAGTCAGAAACTGTACTCTTGGTCGAATACGGTCGCCTTGCCCAAGACGATTCTTTCATGCCATTATATAACACTCCGGCACCAGAATTCCTGTACAACCTGACATCGGTGCCACAAACCAACGTGAACAACCGCACGTTCCCAGTCGCCAATGGAGCTGTTGTAGGCGGTGGTTCCGCGGTCAATGGACATTTTTTCGACCGTGGTAGCGCGGAAGACTACGATAATTGGGCCGAATTTCCTGGTAACGGTGGCTGGGACTGGGAGGGTCTCTGTCCCTACTTCAAGAAAGGTTCTGTTCTTACACCACCAACACCAGCCATGAAGGAATGGGGCATCACGTACAATCCTGCCGCGTATGCTGAAAATGGTTCCGTAGTTAGTGCTTACCCTGATTTTCGATATGCCACCCAGAAAGATCATTGGAAAGCCTGGGCCGAGAAGGAGAATGTTCCAGTCCAGACAGAACACGCGGATGGGCACGCCTATGGGTTGTTCTGTATTCCAACGTCCATGGACCCCGCGAGGCAATACAACCGAAGCTTCGCTGGTCTGAGTCACTACATCGAAGTTCAACCGCGAAAGAATTACCATTTATTGACTCTACATCGTGTTACAAAGGTGAACTTCTCCGGCTCGGAGAAGGACGAAAAGAAGCATGCGGTCAGCGTCGAGGTTAGAGGTCGGTATAGCTCGACGGTATTCACAGTCAAAGGAAAACGTGAGATCATTCTTTCCACATCTGCTGCCCGCACTCCACTGCTTCTCCAGTACTCTGGCATTGGTCCGAAAAATGTTCTGGATACCGCCAAAGTCAAAACTCTGATCGATCTTCCTGGTGTAGGATGGAATCTACAGGATCACTCTTTTGCCCTCGGCTTGTACAACCAAACTGGCGACACTTCGTTCCCAAAGCCAACCACGATTGGATCAAACGCCACGTACAAGGAGGAAGTATATAGCCTTTTCAAGCAAACCAACGGAGGTCCGTATACAGCTTGGATCACAAGCAGTGGCGCCTTTCTACCTCCTGCAACCTTTGTTGGCGAAGCATTCGACGCGATGGTCGAGGAGCTTGCCAAACAGAAGCCTGAGGATTTCATTCCCAACGACACCCCAAAGGAATTGGTTTGGGGCTACCAGAAACAAAAGGAGATTCTACTTGCGTCCTTCAAGTCCAAGATCAATGCTTGGCTTGAACACCCTATTTCTGGTAAGGGCTGGGGCATGTGCATTTTGCTCAAGCCTTTCTCTCGCGGCTACGTCAAGATCAACCCCGCCGATCCACTCGGCGATCCAATCTTCGACTACCGCCTCTGGTCCAACCCTATCGATAAGAAGATGCACGTTCGCATGCAAACATACATTCGAAAGCACTTTCTTGAATCGAAAGCTTTCAAAGACCTTGACATCGTCGAGCAAGATCCGATTCCTGGTGCGGTTACAGACGACGCGGGCTGGGAGGACTGGCTACTTAATCAGAATAAGCTCGTGGCATCAAATGGACATAGTGTTGGCACCGCTGCTATGATGCCTCGCGAGCTAGGGGGTGTGGTAGACGGTCAGCTGAGAGTGTATGGAACGCGGGGTCTCAGCATCGCTGATACTAGCATCATCCCTTTGATACCCGGAACTCATACGCAGACAACTGCGTACGCGATTGGTAAGAAGGCTGCAGATCTGATTAAGGCCAGGCATTTGTAAAGGTTCAGATGGAAATAAAAGTAAAGCAAACAATAGAGGGGATGAGGGCGCGGAGGTCGCGCTGTATAAGGAAGCGAGGAGGTAAGGGCTTACTATCGCAGATTATTACTAACAGAGACAGAAGTCCGTTTTGAGTTTTGAGTGAAATAGCTGTTAGAATAATTGCTAGGACAAGGTAACTAAGGCGAGCACCTTGATTTGCGGAAACGTCATCTCGTCCCTCGCAACAAAGAGAAACCACCACCATACATTTTTGCGAGCTCGGTGCTAGGCAGGAGCGGTAGAAGAGCAAGATGCAACAAAAAGTTCAAAAACATACAACAGCGGGGATTCGCTAGTGGTCACCCACCTAACTACTAATCCGCCGGTACACTGCTTGTATATGGCTGAGCGGACGGGAAGCCTAATTTTCAGTGTCCTATGGTCGTATGTATCATTGTGTGTGGTTATCCTAATTATATACCAAATGACAGCCGCTTGTGAAGTGTAGATAGGGGTTTAATGTTAGCACTGGTCATCACCGCAGACTGCAAAGATGTCGATTGGCTCACTACCTTTCGATGAGCTCCTGTATCCAGGAGGGCGTCTCTCCTAGGACCTTGCCCATCCTTGCTACGATGACCATGTGGCAACCCAGGTGTTGGGGCGTTGCGTAATCGAACGAGTGGAAATTATTGTGACCTTGGGGAACTTTTGAAGTTGGTCGATTGCAGAATGTTCACAAGGTATGACGCCCACACATACGTCTGTTTCCAAGTATTCAAGTGAAGTTGGGCTTTGGATATCGACTGGCAATTATGGAACAAAAACACTCCCGTCTCTTGATATAGCAATTAACCAATGATGGCTCAGCTGTCTCGTTTCTTGTAATTACCAGCTTTATTGTCCTCTGTCGCTTTTAGTATGATTTAGATGAGCTGATTGAGTTGGCCACATATGGGATGCCTTGCGAAGCTTGTAGTGAAATTTGAGTCGTTACCAAATAGAGGGGTGCGGATGGCTAAGATCTGCCCATGAGACGATGTTGTTGCAACGAGGTCTGTAACGGGCTACCTAAGAAATAGGTTCCGACGACGTTACGGCCATGGGGAAGTGAGTACACAGTGCTCCGCTGATCGCAATGATGAGATATACATAGCCTGCCTTGCCCTAGTTCTTCCGACCTTGGTTCTCACCAGTGCGCAACCGAGATTGACGAAGAGGTGTCTAGTCAGTACCGCAGTCAGACTTTGACTATCGATTGTGAGCGACCCTTGAGCAGGATAGATGATGGTGGTAAAGTTAATGCAAGCAATACACGGACAAGGGTGAGAAATTATGTGGGGAAGAGGCATAAATAGCCACGCCGTCGCGAAATGAAGCCTGAGGCATCCACATCTAGCAGCTCGCACCCAATTCGGCACACGATAGCGTCCTAATCTGCGAGAGCAGAGGCGTGATTGGCCTGTGCCTGTCGACATTCGGCGGTGGAACGGGGCGCTAGTCAGCTGCACCCAATTTCAGGGTCTCGTTAGAGTCTTGTCCGGTGTTGATCAGGGATCATGGCGGCTGGAGACTGGGAGGCGACCGAATGTGCCGGGGATGGTGATGACAGTTTAATGTGTAGGGACATGTCAAATGCGAGGCTATGTAGCAAACAAAGTATTGTTTGACATGGTGCGTAGTGTTTGCATGAGCGGCGGCTTCGCTGTGGCCTTGTTGTCGCGAGCGGTCGCGACTGCCCCAGATGTTCGATAGCGGCAATCTCGGCGGCAGGTACCAACGTCGCGGCCCCTCCCTCTCGAGTCGCAGAACAGCAGCATCGTGAGCTTTCTCATGCACCGCTCCGACTCTCGCAGCTCCAACACGCCGCATCTCGCACGCAGTCTGTCGCTCATACCTGTCGCTGAGCAGTTTGACCGCCGCTGGCCAGTCACGGCGCGCAAAAGGTGAGTTTCCGGCGGCTGAAACGCTGCAAGGTCCATCGTGCGTTCAGCGCCCAGAACAACACGAGCACCGCGCTATCCCCCTGCGCTCCTTAGCTCCACCTCGGCCTCTCCAGTCCATAGTCTTGAGCGCAGACTATGTATACTCGCAGACCGCCGTCATGACTGCCGCAAATCCTTCCTCGCCGCCTGATGTGAATGAAGATCTGCATCACGACGATCTTGTCCAACGCCTACAGTCCATGTCCACTGTGAGCCCGACACCGCCTCAAGGCCCGAACAAGACACCGACTCCTACCAAAGCGCCTATACAAGACACACCACGCTCAAGCTCAAGCTCGAGCTCAAGCCAGCCCTCTGCCGACACCATGGGAGAAAGCAGCACCCTCGCCCGCCAGCTTAGCAACACCTCCGATGACAGCATGACTTCGCGCAGGCCCTCTACACCACGCTCGCAGACGGACCCCCAGCCCGACACTCTCACCTCCCTCACCACTCGGCCACGGAATCGCTCGCCCTACTCTCGCTCTCATCTTCGCTCTCAGAGCGGGTCAGCGTTGCCGAGCGCGCCGCCCATGACACGGGCCCATTCGTTGCCTACTGTCATGCAACCGTCTGGCAACCTAAGGCTTTCGCCTACCCCGATGGAGCTTGCCCGCCCGGCTTCTCCTCTACGCTCGCCCAAGCGGACCCGCAGCCCGCGAGCACTGGAGCCACGGCCGCATACAGTAGGGGCCCCAGAGCGCTACGGCTCGGGTATCCGTCCGGCCTCTATCGGCTCCTTCGAGGGCGCTCCGAGTGTGTGCGATATCTCAGAAGATGCCGAGCTGGAACTCACGCCACGCGTTGGCACCACCGTGTCAAGTCTGTACAGCAGCACAGGCTCGCTCTCAAGGCGGCGTCGACCAGCTTCACCGCTCTATCAAGTCTCGGTGTCCTTCGGCGCACCGCCTACCAGTACCCCGTCGGTCAGCACTCCGACATCAACTGCCTCCTCGCCGCTCCTCGCACCATCCAGGTTCAACGAGAACTACCCCATGTCACATGCTTCATCGTCTGTACCCTCTACACCAACCTCGATGCGCTCCCGCAGTCCCTCCATTTCTTCCCTCGAGACTATCGAGGACAGTCCAGACGCAGAAGAAGAGGCTATAGAGGCCGACCGCATACGGCGCCTGAAGGCTGCCGCTGATCGTGAGGATGGTGGAGAGTCCAGAAGGTCCAGCTTAGATGTGCCAGAAGGCCGTGGGCGCAGTCTAGGTTTCGGCAAGCGAGACTCGAGGAAGAGGTGGAGTGTCTGCGGAGCGGAACGACGCGGCGACCTGGATCTGGAGACTATCTGGGAAGATTGATTTTCAACACTGATCTGTCAGCGTGACTGCATCTTTCGAGTGCGCGGCTTTGAGCGTACGGAGTTTTGGGGTTTGTTTTTGGCGCATGGTTGGTCTTGCACTTTTTTGTTTTCACATTATGATCGTCACCCAACGCGGCTCGGACCAGCGTTCATGGATGGAACGAGGATGCGCTTTTGTTTTACGCATATGGTATGATACATTTCAACGATACGACACGACACGTCGTCGCAGCATGATACCCTCCTTCAGGAGCTTTAGTTTTGAGGCTGTCTTACAGTCTGACCTGCATTTAGTAACCTGCAATACAACACCGATTGATCTGGAAAAATCACGCTCTCTATCGTTGACCCATTGCCTACAGAAACACGAGAGACTAGTGTCTAGTTTTGCCTACTACTGCCGATTTGGGAAGTCCGAACAGTCGGCCAATGACATCACACTAAGACCTGGAGCTTGAAGCTTCCTAGTGGGGTTGAACGCGACTGCCCCTCGACGCGAACGACATATATATCAGGCGTCTCGTCTTCTCCATTCGCACTCAATCACTTTAACCACCGGAACAATAACACCGTCAACATGATTAACCTTGCGATCATCGGAACCAATTGGATCACCCATTCTTTTGTTGAAGCCGCACACGCGACTGGGAAATACAACCTGTCCGCAGTCTACTCACGAAAGGAAGAGACTGCCAAAGAGTTTACATCCAAGTACGAGGGCAAGCAGATCACCACATACACCGACCTCAATGCCTTGGCACAAGACAAGATTGACACAATCTATATCGCCAGCCCGAACATCCTACACTACGAGCAAGCCAAACTGTTTCTCAATGCAGGCAAGAATGTCATCTTGGAGAAGCCCTCATGCAGCACAGTCGAGGAGTTGGATGATCTATTCAAGCTAGCCAAACAGAAGAAGGTCGTTCTTGTCGAGGCGTTCCGCCACATCCAAGAAGCAAATTTCAAACTCCTCAAGGAAAAGATCTCCGACCTTGGTCCCCTGTATGGCGCCTCTATCACCTTCGCCCAGTACTCTTCACGCTACCAGAAGGTCCTGCAAGGCGAAGTACCAAACATCTTCAACCTCGAGATGGGCGGTGGCGCTCTCGTCGACTTGGGGGTATACTGTGTGGCTGCAGCTGTCGATCTCTTTGGCGCACCCACCTCTTCGCAGTACTACCCTGTCAAGATCGCAACGGGAGCTGACGGTGCCGGTCGCTTGATTCTCCACTATCCCAACTTTACTGTACACCTCTGCCATTCCAAGATCTACAACTCTGATGCCCCATCTGAGATCTATGGCGAGAAGGGCACCTTAATTGTACCGACCATCACCGACATCGACAAGATCACTTTCTGGGATCCTAAGAAGAAGTCACGGGAAGAAGTACAAGGAGTCAAGACGCCTGAGAAGCTGAACTTGATTGAAGAGGCAAGAGAGTTTGCGAGATGCATTGAAGATAAGGACGAGGCTGCGCTAGGGAGACTGGAGCAGCATAGCAGGGATACTTTGGCGATCATGCAGAAGGTCAGGCACGACAATGGCCTTGTCTTCCCAGGAGGAAAGTAAAAGCCTGACTTTGTAGTCGATGATAACAACATCCTCGGATGAAGATTGTTTTAAGTCACTCTATCGTAGGCTGCATGCTTCCGTCGGTTAACATTACCCAAGTCGTGTGATACCAAGCAAGACGTCAAATCCAAGAGGGTACTAACGCTGCAGATCGTATCCGTCTACACTAGAGGTTGGTTTATGGACGTAGGTAGTCGTGGTAGTCACTTCATGCATATCGGGGCTGATTGATCACGACATATGACCGTGCATGTTGCATCAAGAAAACTCTGTCATTGTTTCTCCCAATTCGACTACGTAACCATTGTTCCATGCCTCGCAATAGGCGTAATTCGCCCCAAGCCCTTTCAGATACATCTCTCATAATAGGCCAGACTCTAGCAAGTCGATCTTCACTCCCCAAGAATTGAGTGAAGCCCTTTCAAACCAAATTTCGTACAATGAGTTAAACTCTAACAAGTCACTCTCCGTCACCAAAGAATTGAACCAAGTCCTCTGTCTCCTCCTACGATTCCTTCCAAGCTGAAGTCGCGGCAAAGTATCGTATCGTACACGTGTGGGTATTCTGCTTTCCTCCTGCTCGACTCGACTGATGGCTTCGACGTCGTTTTCACTCCTCCCCTCGGTGTGGTTATGACTTTGAAGGTAGTGGAGGTAGGGGTCGGTTTGGTGGTGGGCCTGGGCAGGGTGGGAGTGTTGTCCAGCCTTTTGATGGCATATTGTTGATTTGTGGTTGTAGTTGTAATTGACTCAGGAGCATATGGTATCCCCGTGGTTGTGATATGTCGTGCCGCTGTAGTGACGAAGCGATGTGTGGTAAGATCGCTCTGTAATACCAAGTAAAATGTATTTTGTATAAAAGATGTTCGATTGGATAAGCTAATGCAGCTGATTGAGTTGATGGTTGGATAGAGATTCTTTACAAGGAGACATACCCTCCATATATACATCCTACCCCTACGCTCGCCCAACACCAATCAAGGGGTTAAACTCACCCCCTCCAAAAGAATAGTGGATAGTCACAATCAGCGAACGATGAGAAAAGCACCGCCGATCGCCCACGTCGATCAAGAGCAGTACTCCACCGTGGTTCAACAAAGCAATGCGTCCATATTGGGATTGGCCCTACACCGCAAACGTTAGCCAGGTTCAGGGTGTCTGCTTCCGCGGAAACCAGACTATGCCTGCTCGGTACCTCAGAAAAGATGTGACGACAGGGAAACAAGGTTCAAGACCCTACTTCCCCCTCGGGGCGACTAACAAGCTGCTTTTTTGCGAGCTAATAGTCTGGTAGAGGCGCAAAGTGGCGGCAGGTGGCTAGAGATTGCTTTTTCGTGTCTTGGCGTGATATTGTCGAATGGAGAGAGCAAGAGACAGCAGAAAACGGGAATAACATGCGTGGTGTCAGTGCGAGAGTGTCTCGACTGGACTCTTACCACGTGCGTTTATGCTGTGTTGGCTCGTAGATGGCGTAGAGCGTCGAGAGCTGTCTCTTCACCGTGATACTGCATCTCAGCCTCCTCAGCGCCTTTTCCAAAAGGAAACGCAACACCCTTTACAACGCAAAGGTGTTTCGATGGGCGACACACAACAGCGGTCCAGACGTTCTTCATACACAGGGCGTCTGCAGTGGGCGAGTGGCATGCCGTTGGTACCGAGCTGGACTCAACGTACTCGTGGCCTGTGGCTAAATCTCCGCCTTGATGCCAGATGCCAACAAACGTCTCAGCTTGTCTTCCTTCTTGGTGATCAGGCCATCATCGATGACAGACAGAGCTCGCTTCGCTTAGGTTCTTGTCGCGAAATTCTCAGCTTTGCTCCCCTCCTTACACGCCGAACCTTCCTCAGACAATGAGTCCCTGCGTCTCTTTGTGTGATTATCGTATCATGTCCCCTCTTTCGTCGGTCACCCCGAAATTTTGCTGTGTTAGTCTTCGTCCTTGGCGTATTACCCAGGATGACCAGGCCCGTCACATTGGTATGCGTCGTTCGTGCTAGAGAGATTATGCGAGCAGCATACTGGTGGACGTCACACAAGCGCGTTTAGCACCCGTACCCTTCTTTAGTACTTAAGTTGGCCTCACGCGCCGTCTGAGCCGTTGGACGTCGGCGGGTGAGAGTATAAACGTGGTGGAGCATTGTGGATCCGTGATACCCAGGCTGAAAGAAACGAGATGAGGCTTAGTGTATCGTAAGTGTACCAAAGACATGTGTCGGGTCGAACACCCTTGGCCAATCAACCGTTCTCAGACTAGCAGGTTAGTTGAGGTCCGTCTCCCGCGGATCTGGCATTTCTGACATCTGACGTACCCGCGCATGTCACGTCTATATTGGCGCATGTGAAGAATTGCCCATGTGCACTGGCCATGTGGGTTGGTAATCGCCACTTGGGCCTCAAGATAGACTGTCAGCCCTTTTTAGTTCTAGAACTAGGTGTAAGCGACCTCGATTCGCGGGGTACACGTGGGTTGCCTGTCACAGATGCCGCCGTTCGATTCCCCTTTCGGGAGTGAATTGACGGTCGCGATGTAGTGGTGAGGAAGCCGATGGTACGAAAGCCGATACTGCCGCGGCGGCCGATACTACGTAACTCAGAAAATCCGGAAGTTCACCATATCGTGAAACAGCATTTCGAATCTAGGGGTCTCTACCCCCTCCCTCCGAGGGCCCTCACGCTTAGCCTCAGCAAGATCAAAGGCAAGCAATTTTCCAGCCCGTCATCTGCAGATGAACCCAACCCAACCCCCCGTTAGCTCTACAGGCTCTCCTGGTAAGAGTAGACCTTACACTCTGCGTAGTGCCAGCCACTCATGGAAGTTGCGAAGGCTCATGGTGGAAGTTGCGGTGAGCTTACACCACTTGGACGACGTGATAATTAGAGTCTGGAGCATGCAAGTGTGGTGGCTGAAAGCTGTCGATGTCGACGTTGGGACCGCAAGTGCTAGTTCGTTTCAGCTGCTACAATTACCAAATTGCACTACTCTGTGATTCGCCAGTCGCAATAGCAGCTCATTGGTGGCTTTCGCAGATAAGCTGTCTTGTTGGCATGGAATGCTAGTTGGGTGCGTCTGCATATTGGCTGACCAAGCGTGCCGTTACCAAAGTTGAACAGAACGCAAGTTCGAGCCTGGTGAGCCTGTCGTTTCACGGATCCACTTAGCTTGGCATAGGTCAAAGCCATTGAAGAGCTTGGTAGAAGTCGTCCAGATACAAACCAACGGCGCGACTTTCTAGGGATATCGATCTTAACCATAGTGTTGGTATTGGCGGTGTTCGGCTGCTTGTAACCAAGAAGCCAACACTACAATTATAATCGGGGTTCCAAAACGGGCCGATAGGGAGAATTCATCTCGCGGTGGTTCGCATGAGAATAACCACTGGCGCAAATCGATGCCCAAACGCAGGCTTGATGTCATCCATCTCTTACATTTAGTTGACTCAATGTGTTTGCTGGCTTGGCAGAAGATCCAGCTGTCCGAAGGTTCGAAGTATAGACTGCGATCAAAGTTGAGGTAGTACAGTATTCAATAGTCGTCTGACACCTTCAACGTTGGTAGAAAAGTGTACCATATTGTACCGCTATCCCATGAGGCACCGATCCACGATCGAAGAATAGGGCTGCAGAAGTTGGACTTAGCAGTGTAGCGTCGTTGTTCAATGTGAGCACTTGTATTATGGCGTAGTTCGACCATACTTCGCAGGAAAGACGATAACCGTTGCCTCCTATCGCTAGGGATTGTCAGCAACAGCAGCCAAACACAGTTTGTACAGTCTCAGCAAGTGTTGTGTGGGAAGATGGTGACGTGTAATCAGACGATCTACATTACTATCAGCTCACCTGAAGAAAATTTGGAATGTCAGATCTCGTGGCTACTAGCCCCCGCGATGTTAGGGGGTGGACACTAACCTAGTTAAACGGGATGTCTATGCTCCATATCAACTCATATCGACTCCACTTTCTATTCCCGGAGCACGTGTTGATTGCCCTTCTCGCAGGTAATACTCAAGGGAGTATAGCGTTTCTTAGATACCGGCTAGGTCACATGGCCAACCGTCGAGGGCCGTCGTGTGTCCAGCCTCGTCAGCGTTGCCAAGCGTTGCGGACCAAGGTGGCAACGGGCCGCAATTACCATACCAAAAGCGTATGTTAGGATCTGAAGCTGGAAACCACATGCAATCGCCGGATGTATCTACCAGTCGCTCGACAACACAGGTCAATACCGATGCCTCAGACGAGGGAGATGACTGAGGGCAGGTGTTCTTGTAAGTTCCGGGAATATGACCTTCTGCATGCAGGGTGTACACTGGAGTAACACATAGTAACGGTAGCCTTCCAGAGCAGTGTCCCCACTTTGACAACGTTTGCAGTCGTGGTATCGCCTGACTTGGCAAAATTGGCAGCGGTACCTCCTTCGTTTTTGTTCCTGTTGGTGAATATCACACAAGATACCTTATGCGATATAGTCCATCCAGAGAAGACATGGCGATCTCTTCCTTGCAATTGCCTCATTGTCCGGGCAATTTTGTTAAGATCATCGTAGGTAGAGTCGTACCATGGTACTTGCAGAACCGGCTCGGTCCAGCGACCACATCGCGTGAGAAGCCCTCGAAAGAAGTCATGGGAAAGTAAAAGCCCAATCCCTATGGATCGAGCCCCATATTCTGTATTCGGAAGACGATATGCATGTTGAAGTTGTCGTAGGAGTTGTACCATGCGCCACATAGTGGTGATGCCCCTTTGTCTCGCCTCCTCATCAACACCACTTGCACTGTGGTACTAAGCACTATCAATGCAATAATTCGGTCTGTGGCTGCTGACGGAGAAGTTGTGCTACTTTCACACTTCCTGATACCTAGTTGCTAAACAGAGGTGGGTAAGCGCTGACCATAGGGTGTGGAAACTGCGACACCGGACCTATCGGTATTTCTAGTCGTTGAAGAATTTCAGTCGATGTCGGAGCTTCATCATATGGAAGCGTATGCGGCGGGGGCGGACG